GAATTAACTTTCTTACTTTGCAGAGTGCTCCAAATTCATTCTTTCAAAATGGACTTAATTATTCTAGTAGGTTTTGTTGAAAAGAATTCTCTCTCTACTACATTATCTTGGCATCCCTGTTGAAAATCAAGCAAGCATAAATGGAATGGCTTATTTTCAGACTCCCTGAGACATATATATATATGTTTTCCCCTCACATGTGTGTATGTAAATGCAGCAAATTCATATCTATGCTCTAACCACTCATTTTCTTTCACTTCATTTCTCTAATATGCTTGCATCGCTATTTTAAAATATATTTATTTAAAATAGTTTTTTTCCATTGATTAAAAACAAAGATGGGCATACTGTTATAATATTTTCAAACTACAGTTTTCATCATTTGTGACCATCGTGAACAATAAGACAGAGGATAGAGAGGTAAAGGGAAGAACTTTTACTCTTTTTCTCTCCTGAACTCATTTCTGGAAAAGCTGCTTCCCTTACCTATTAATAGAACTAAAAGCCTTAGAACTAAAAAAACTAAAAGCCTCCTCCATAGAACTAAAAGCCTTCTTCCAAGGAGATAAGAGGAAGTGCAAGTAGAGGGAAAAATAATTACCAATATGTACTCCATCAGTTCAGTTCAGTCGCTCAGTCATGTCTGACTCTTTGCGACTCCATTGACTGCAGCACGCCGGGCCTCCCTGTCCATCACCAACTCCCAGAATTTACTCAAACTCATGTCCATTGAGTCAGTGATGCCATCTAACCATCTCATCCTCTGCCGTCCCCTTCTCCTCCCGCCTTCAATCTTTCCCAGCATCAGGGTCTTTTCTAGTGAGTCAGTTCTTCACATCAGGTGGCCAAAGTACTAGAGTTTCACTTCAGCAACAGTCCTTCCAAAGAATATTCAAGACTGACTTCCTTTAGGATGGGTGGGTTGGATCTCCTTGCAGTCCAAGGGACTCTCAAGAGTCTTCTCCAACACCACCATTCAAAACCAACTATTCTTCAGCACTCAGCTTTCTTTACAGTCCAACTCTCACATCCTTACATGACTACTGGAAAAACCATAGCCTTGACTAGACTGACTTTTGTTGGCAAAGTAATATCTCTGCTTTTTAATATGCTGTCTAGGTTGGTCATAACTTTTCTTCCAAGGAGTAAGAATCTTTTAGTTTCATGTCTACGATCACCATCTGCAGTGACTTTGGAGCCCCCAAAAATAAAGTCTGTCACAGTTTCCACTGTTTCACCATCTATTTGCCATGAAGTGATGGGACCAGATGCTGTGATCTTAGTTTTCTGAACGTTGAGCCTCAGGTCAACTTTTTCATCCTCCTGTTTCACTTTCAAGAGGTTCTTTAGTTCTTCTTCACTTTCTGCCATAAGGGTGATGCTATCTACACATCTCAGGCTCTTGATATTTCTCCCAGCAATCTTGATTCCAGCTTGTGCTTCATTCATCCAGCCCAGTGTTTCTCATGATGGACTCTGCATATAAGTTAAATAAGCAGGGTGACAATATACAGCCTTGATGTACTCCTTTCCCAATTTGGAACCAGTCTGTTGTTCCATGTCCATTTCTAACTGTTGCTTCCTGACCTGCATACAGGTTTCTCAAGAGGCAGGTCAGATGGTCTGGTATTCCGATCTCTTTAAGAATTTTCCACACTTTGTGGTGATCCACACAGTCAAAGGCTTTGGCGTAGTCAATAAAGAAGAAATAGATGTTTTTCTGGAACTCTCTTGCTTTTTCGATAATCCAATGGATGTTGGCAATTTGATCTCTGCTTCCTCTGCCTTTTCTAAAACCAGCTTGAACATCTGTAAGTTCACATTTCACATAAAGTTGAAGTCCCATTGTATTGTTTTTCGCTATTTCTTTGCACTGATCACTGAGGAAGGCTTTCTTGTCTCTCCTTGCTATTCTTTGGAACTCTGCATTCAAATGGGTATAGATTTCCTTTTATCCTTTGCTTTTCACTTCTCTTCTTTTCTCAGCTATTTGTAAGGCCTCCTCAGATAGCCATTTTGCTTTTTTGATTTTCTTTTTCTTGGCGACGGTCTTGATCCCTGTCTCCTGTATAATATCATGAACCTCCATTCGTAGCTCTTCGGGCCCTCTGTCTATCAGATCTAATCCCTTGAATCTATTTCTCACTTCCACTGTATAATCATAAGGGATTTGACTTAGGTCATTCCTGAATGGTCTAGAGGTTTTAAAGCTGGTCACAAGTCTTCCATTTGAGAAGCCTCAAAATGGAAGTTAAATTTGCTTCATTTTTAAATAAGATAAATTTTCTTTCATATTAGATTTCATTCTGTCAGAATATTGTAGAAAAGAATGACTGAGCAACGAAACAGTGCAACTGTTAGAGTTTATGTTGGAAGAAGGAAAGCAAGATTCACAGCAGTCTAACTCCATAGTCCCTAGTGTTTTCCATAATGAGAAGAAACTGATAACTTCAGTTACTGAATTTTTATAGAAAGTGACCCAACAGGGAAATCAGGAAGAAATTTCAGGTGTATGTTAAAGTTATAAACTGTAAAGGTATAAAATATAGAAGGGACATCTGTGCTGTATGCTTAGTCATGTCCAACTCTTGTGACCCCATAGGCAGTAGCCTGCCAGGCTCCTCTGTCCATGGGATTTTCCAGGCAAGAACACTGGAGTGAGTTGCCATTCCCTTCTCCAGGGTCTCCTGCATTGCAGGCAGACTCTTTACCAACTGAGCTATGAGGGAAGCCCCCATAGAAGGGACACACAGTATTGCAAATTATTTCAGCGATTTCCCACAGAGAGAACAACGTAAATGAGTTATTTCAACATTTGAAAACATTTAGATAAAGAAATAAGGAATCTTGAAAGTAGGACCCTTCGGGAAAACACATTCATTTAAGAAATGGACATAAAGAGGGAGTGAAGCAATGCAGTAGCTTTCCCTTTGGATGTGAAGATAATGAGGAGACAGGAATTTACTTTGATCCACCTGAGGGATGTTCAGTCCCTAGAGCAAAGTGAAAATGGTTAAAAGAGTGAGTCCCTAAGGAACTAAAGACAGATCATGAACCATTTATAAAGTTTCCTTCTTTTTTTTTTCATAAGATCTACTCCCTGGGGAATTGTTGGGGCAAACCTCCAGTATGTTTTTAACTATGTGCATTACATCATCACGCTCATATTAAATCTTCTGTGCCTAATCAAGTTGCAGGTGTGGTAATAAAATGCTTTATTTTCCTCTACCTATTGAGGGGACTGAAAATAACCAGAAATTACAGTAGTTCATAAAGTTTTTGAGGGCATATGTCAATGCTGTCTCATTTTATCAAATAAATCAAGCCTCAAGAACCTGAAATTGCATTTCCAGTACCAACAAGGTTAAGACTAATGATAAGGGAGCCAGCCCCGAGGTTTTCTGCCCTAAGAAGGGTGAGTTTCTGAATTCATCTTACATGCTGAATTCAATTTACAATCCTTATTCCTTGTTTTGAGGTGAAAATCCAGGGTCCATTGTTTCTCATTTTGTGTAGTTCTGGGAGTCAAGTGAAGCTAGTGGATGAATCTGTAGGAGAGGGATCAGAGACTGTTCAGAGATACAAGGGGGCTCAAAGGACATATCAGTCAGGAAGTTTCCTCTAGGTAGGTGTAACTCTCACTCTTCTAATGTTATGTCTTTTAACTCTGTGAAAAGTGGAGTAACAACTCTTATAGATTTTGGTCCTATCATCTTGGATTAGAAAACATATTTTTGGTTTGGACCACATCACAGCTAATCTGCATCAGAAGCCAGCGTCAGGTTGCTAGGATCACTGCCTCCAGTTGTAGTGGTGAGGGAAGAGTTCAAGTGAGGAAACGTTGAAATGAGAGTAGAACAATTGTATTCTAATCCATTCCTCTTCCCCTTGGACTATCCAGCAGGTATGCTTGCATATGGCAGGATTGGCCTGCCCTCTGTAGGCTGTTTGTGATGTACTTTGCTATATTTAACTTGTAACAGCTCTAATAAACGGCAAGTCCACATCACTCTGTATTGTAATAATGGGAAAGTCAGATTCTATGGGGCTAGGTTGGGACAGTGTCAGGCATTCCCAGTGTATACTATTTTAGGCTGGGCTTCCCTGGGACTCAGTGGTAAAGAACCCTCCTGCTAATGCAGGATATGTGGTTCGATCCCTCGGTTGGGAAGAACCTCTGGTAAAGGAAATGGCCATCCACTCCAGTATTCTTGCATGGGAAATTCCATGGACACAGGAACCTTGAGGGCTACAATCCATGGGGTCACAAAAGAGTTGGACGCAACTTAGTGACTAAACAAGAAAAACAACTGAGTTCTTTTGTAGGATGAGACACTGTGGAAGAGCTGGGTTGCTCTCTAATGGAACCCTTTTCTCCTGTATACACAGATTACCTCAGAGAAGAATGGCTCCTGGAAATGACTCTTTTGTGACTGAATTCATTCTGTTGGGATTAACAGACCGACCTGATCTCCAACTCCCTCTGTTCTTACTGTTCCTAGGAATGTACATGGTCACTGTGCTGGGAAATTTGGGACTGATAATTCTAATTGCACTGAATTCACATCTGCACACCCCCATGTACTTTTTCCTCTTTAACTTGTCCTTCATAGATCTCTGTTATTCTTCTGTATTTACACCCAAAATGCTGATTAACTTCACATTAAAGAAGAATATTATTTCTTACATGGGGTGCATGACCCAGCTCTACTTTTTCTGTTTTTTTGTCATTTCTGAATGCTATGTGCTGACATCAATGGCCTATGACCGCTATGTGGCCATCTGTAGCCCTCTCTTGTATAATGCTGCCATGTCCCTTAAAGTGTGTTCCAGCCTTATGTTTGCTTCCTACTTGATGGCATTTTCTGGTGCCATGGCTCACACTGGATGCATGCTGAGACTGACCTTCTGTGGTACAAACACTATCAACCATTATTTCTGTGATGTCCACCCTTTGCTCCAGCTCTCCTGCACAAGTACCTATGTCAATGAGCTTGTAGTTTTCATTGTGGTGGGCATCAACATCATTGTGCCCAGTTTCACAATCTTTGTCTCTTATTATCTCATCCTCACCAACATCCTCCAAATCAAGTCCATGGAGGGCAGGTCCAAAGCCTTTAGCACTTGTACTTCCCACATAATTGCTGTTTCTCTGTTCTTTGGATCAATGTCATTCATGTATCTCAAACCATCTTCTGCTGGTTCTATGGATACGGAAAAAATCTCTTCTGTCTTTTACACCAATGTGGTTGCTATGATGAACCCCTTAATCTATAGTTTGAGAAATAAAGATGTGAAAACTGCTCTGAGAAAAACTCTGAGTAGGAGATAATTTTGAATAGAGTATCTCTCTCTGTGAAGTTGGTCAAGGGCAGAAAGTTTCTGTGTTTCATCATAGTAACTTTGTTGACTATGTTATTTCTTTTTCACCATGTGGAAGGATATCTGAGTCACCTCACAATTTATTTACACTTTTTAGAATTGGTCTCTCTTTTCTTACCACTAGCACAATTTCCTTTCCTCACTTTCTCCCATTTATTAATACTCTTCAGAAAAATTTATTGTCTGTTTTTTCTATCAGTTTGAACTTTTTTCCCTGTTGAAATAGAAGACTTGTCTACTGATGATCAAATTGGGGAAAATTAGTTTGATGTTGTGTCTTTACGGTTGTCTTATCTGCCATCTGCCATTGGAAGCATGAACCAGACAATGTTTATCTTATTTTCCTTCCAGTCTTGCTTGAGCAAGATTATATTTCATTTCATCCCTGAGATATAAAGTTACATAATGGCTAAGTATAAAAAATTTTGGTTTTGTTGACAATACACGTTTTGCTTTTTTGACAAAGAATTTTCTTACTTTTACACAGCCAGTCCTGCACATAACAGATTATTAACATACACTCCTGGATGGGAAAGTATAACTCACAGTAGTTATTGATTTATTTACAATTGTATATTTCTTAATGAAGACACCTAGACTAAATTCAATTTTATGTTTTAAAGTCTACTAATCTCAGTATACTTTGTTTCTGTTTTATCTCATCATTTTTGTTTAATTAAACATAGCACAGAGGAAAATATTCTAATTTGAAATTTGACAGTGCCTTGTCCCTGGGTGGTACATGAATTTTTCTCAGGATGGGTGTTTTTGTTTGTTTGTTTGTTTGCTTATGAACAAAATTTATTTTGTCCTTGTTGTTGGGAAATAGGAAGCTTTATGGACCTGAATACTGGGGAAATGACTGGCTTAAGTAAGCACATTATTTTTTTCCAAAAAATTAAGAAAAAAAATGGTATACTTTCAAGTGTTTGTAATTCAATGAACAGTGCTCGGTAGATTAAAGAGTTCGGAATCCTTTCATGAGGACAAGGTCAACAGTCACATTACCAATAAATAAAAGGTTTTTGTGGGGATTTCTCATGAGGCTTAGGAACTGCATTTAAATATGGGTTTTTTTTTTTTTTTTACCTATTCCATCTAGTACATTAAATGTTTAGTCCATAAAGCTTTCATAAACTTATGATACACAGTGACCATACAATAGTAGTGTCTTTTGAGATGAAGGTAGAAAAGTTGTGACTACCTGTGAGGAAAAAGTTATAGGACTTTTTTTTTCCCTGAAGATAAAATAACTATTAGTGATTAAAACTCAAATTAGGAATAAGGAATCTAGGAAATAAAATTTTGAAAATAAAAGACTCATTTTTATGAGTCCCCTCTTTTTTTCTGGAAGACCTAGAAATATGAAGGAAATCACAGGATTTCTATGGATAGAATGAAAACTTATTTGATAACTAAAAAAATAAACTCATCAACCTCAACACTGTGTGTGACCTGGGCAAAACTTTATCACTTCTGCTTTTGTTGGCTACTTCGTCATGGATTTTAGGGAATAAAATCTGCCGGGGTCCAGCCTTGGCAAGATCCAGGGGTACCCTCAGGATGAACGGCATTGGCGAGAGAAAGAGAGAGAGAGAAAGAGAGAGAGAGAGAGAGAGTGACCAGACGGGGGGCTGCAGCAGAGTCTGGCAAATCTTTATTTTTTACCATAGCTTTTATATTCTAAGTTAGTACATTTTTAAGGGGAAGATAGTTTAATATTACATCGGCTTATCCTTCACAAAACCAGGGTGTTTTCTGCATATTTCTTTGTGAGAGTCTTGTACATTATCTTCTGGCCATGGGGCCTATTGACATTTTTTGACCTACATGAATGCAAAGTTGTTTTCCGTAATCTATTCTTTAATGAACACAAAGGTCAGTCCTTTTGCAGAAGTTATCAGTTACATTTATCTAAAAGGTTTACCACACAAAGACTCTGCAACTCCGGTGAGGCAGCCCCTGTTTAGCATTCCTGGTTAAAATTAACAATTCTAAACTCTTATTTTTCTAAATCTTTAACTATAACCACTTTTAGAATAATATTTTTGTGTTCTCTAATAGGGCTTCCTCACCTCCCGAAGGGCTCTGTGCCTATTAGGGCCTTTTGTGTGATCAGGTTCTTTATGCTGTTTATGATTAAGGTGTTGTGAGCAGTCATGTGCATTAGTACGCATTTGCCAAGCAGGCTAGAATGCCAGCAAAGGGGTCTAAATTGAAACACTCCTTTCACCCTGGATAATCTTATAGGATACCACCATCTGGGGGACATATTGATTAAAGTTCTAAGTTGATTCTGTTTGGAGAGAGATCGGGGAAGGCCGTCTACCTGTGTCACAGAAATTAGGCAGTAGTCTAATATAGCAAGCATCAGAAAGACAGATCATCTTTAAAGTGAGCACAGGAGCAGCTTTTCAAAATCCCTGAAGTCCTGATCTGCCTTGCTTGTCAGGTCTTCTCCTCACCACCTTGTCATGGGTGGGATCTCGTGTGCTGGCTCCTGGCAAAAAACCTCAAAATGCTGTTAGAAAATGATAATTTGAAAGAAATATTTGGTGACTTTTCAGGAAGCATTTAACAGGAGGCTTCCTGTGTGCTGTTTTGGATCTGTCATGAATCCTCTGTTCCGGAATTAAGAGGAGAGGCAAACCTCTCCTGGGGCTGAGGAATTCATGCATTTCCTTCGTTCGTTTTTCCATATGATGATAAGTAATTATTTACAACAATCTTCCTTTTAATGAATCATATGTTAGAAGTGATTGTTTACAACTCTCTGTCTTTGATATGGATCGCCTTGTGTTTTGTAAGTCTGGAATTTTGATTTTTATCTTTGCTAAGAATAGCTACCTTGTAAGACAGTATATATACCCACACCATGTTGAATAAAACACCTTTGCACCATCAGAGCTTGGGTCCCAGTGTCTTTCTTTCCTTATCTCTCTCTCTCTCTCTCTCTCTCTCTCTCTCTCTTTTTTAGGCTAATTCCTTGGAGAGAGAGAGCCTACTGAGCTCCCTTTCTTGCCTGGGCTTCTAAGATCCTCTCAAGAAGGCACACTGTGCCTTCACCCAGTGGAGAGGGCTCCTGGTGCCTACCTGAAGCAGTACAAGCTCTGTTGAAGCTGAAGAGTCAATACTTTGGCCATCTAATGCAAAGAATTGACTCATTAGAGAGGATCCTGATGCTGGGAAAGACTGAGGGCAGGAGGAGAAGGGGACCCAAGTATTAAAGTTTCAACATCAGTCCTTCCAATGAACACCCAGGACTGATTTCCTTTAGGATGGACTGGTTGGATCTCCTTGCAGTCCAAGGGACTCTCAAGAGTCTTCTCCAACACCACCATTCAAAACCATCAATTCTTCTGAGCTCAGCTCTCTTTATAGTCCAACTCTCACATTCATACATGACCACTGGAAAAACCATAGCCTTGACTAGATGGATATTTGTTAACAAAGTACTGTCTCTGCTTTATAATATGCTGTCTAGGTTGGTCATAACTTTCCTTCCAAGGAGTGAGTGTCTTTTAATTTCATGGTTGCAATCACCATCTGCAGTGATTTTGGAGTCCCCCAAAATAAAGTCAGCCACTGTTTCCACTGTTTCCCCATCTGTTTGCCATGAAGTGATGGGACCAGATGCCAAGATCTTAGTTTTCTTAAAGTTGAGCTTTAACCCAACTTTTTCACTCTCCCCTTTCACTTTCTTCAAGAGGCTCTTTAGTTCTTCTTTGTTTTCTGCCATAAGAGTGGTGCCTGTACTAGTTTTCATTCTCCAACTAAAATAAATAAATTTATAAAATTTAAAAAAAGAAAGAGTGGTGTCATCTGCACATCCCTCTGGTAGATCCAAAGTTAATTCCCATCTCCTCATTATCTACACCTCTGAGGGGAAAGCTACTACATTGTCTCATCCCTCTTTGTTCACATTTACTAAATGGACTTATTTCCTCAAAAGATCTACTTCCAGGTTTCTTTTTTTCTTTATCTGAATACCTCAAATGTTGCAGCAACTCATTTCAGTTTTTCTCTTTCTGAGATGTCTCTGAAATAATTTGCAATATAGTGTATCTCTTCTATAGTTTATACTTTTAACATAACATATTCCTGAAGTTTTTACCAGACTCTCCTGCTGCCTAATTTTTTTTAACATTTCAGTAAGTGAAGTTATCAATGCTTCACATCATAGAAAAGATTATGGATTATGGAGTTAGAGAGAGTGCTGCTAATCCTACCTTCTTTTTCCACTTTTACACACCATAACACTTTGGAACAGTTATTGAAATTATTGGTTCTCCTATGTAAAATAAGGGATGCCAAAATAGCATCTCTTTCATTGAGCTGTTGTGTTAATCAAATGAAAAAAAAAAAAAAAAAACTAAGTAAAATGATTGGGCCAGTATTGGCATATGAGAGTCAATAAATGTCAGCTCTTATTATTCATGTTCTCATAAATTTCAGTAGATTCTCCTTCATAAAACTCATCATACTTTTCCCCTTTAATTCATGCTTTTCTATAAACTGTATATTCTATAAGGACAAACATCTATTCTATGTTGTTAACTATTTGGATCCTGAAACTAAGAACAATGCTGAGTACACAGCAAAAATTCAATTAATACTTCTGAAACTCATCTTGTTTTCATCTAAGAGCTTTCAGAATACATTCAAAACTTGTCTTATGCTAAACCATGGCAGCAACAACCACAATGACCTGCACCCACGTGACCCCAGCACCACACAACTTCTGGTTTCATGATTAAACTGAACTAGTATAATATTGAACTATAGTGGTTCCTAACTAATATTTTCACATCTTCCCAAATAGTCACTCTTATTTGGTCATGAACAATGCTGCTAGAATAAAGTCTGAAAGCACAGCTTTGTCCCTCCCTAGTTCAAGGACTTTCAGTGGTTCTCCACTGGAAAATTGAAGCTGTGTAGTAAAAATGTAAT